CCGGTGTCCCCCCCGGGGGGGCGGCCTCCGAGGCTTTGCTCGCTGTCTCCCTTGTCTGACCAGCAGACCAGGGAGACGGGGAGCAGCTTTTCTCGCCCCAGAGGACGGGGGCGGCGGGACCGCAGCTCATCTGGGCGTCCTGCCGCTCCCGTCCTCCAGGGAGGGAAAAGCCCCGTTCGTAACTACGGATCTGACATAAGTCGGATCCGCGTAACTCGGGAACTGCCTGTACTTGGTCCAGTAATGGATTTGACTTTAAGGTCCCATCCAGCTGCATATTTCTGTGATTCTGTAAGTTCTACTGGATGATCTCAGTCCTTTTCTGACCTTACATCCTATAAACGTATGCTGGCATAAGCGTATAGTCACTCTGGAGTGATGGACTGTTATAACAAAAACCTGTCTAAACATTGGAACCTGTGTCACCTCATCAATTATTTTGTCCCAAGTATTTTAAATTAGACTTTCCAAGTTTCATGTAAATATACCTATATGAAATTTGAAGACAAAGCTTTACTTACAGTTACACTGTTAACATTCTGAAATTTTACATAGCGAAGCTGGACAATACCATCTTCTTTTATGTCATCTGGAGTTAGTTCCAAGGCTTGGGTTGGTTCACTTCTTTCTGCTTCTTCAAAGTCCATAGATCGTGGAAGGTTGATGAAGATTTTTATATACTTGGGACCTTGACCTGGGTTAACACACATTAGCAATTTAATTAACTAAACCACTTTTTAGATACAAAATTCGAACCTAGAAGCATCTTTACAATGTTTGTTATATGAACACGTAGTGACAATTTTGTTTTTGCTACATTCATAAAATTAGTACAAGATATAAGTACAGAAACCACATTTGAAACTATAGTTCTACCTTGCTCTACTGTATGTCAATATAAATATCTATGCCATGTCAAAACTATAGCATATGGACAGCATGGAGATTACATTAAATATATTTTAAAGAACAAATCTACTGTATTGATTGTTTTCTCCAATTTCAACAAAGCTACTTCCAAAGAGCAGGATTTCTAGAAAGCAACAAGATCCATACTACTGTCTTTACATGAATCCATGGGACCTTGCTAATAGTTACAATTATACTGCTCAGAAAACAGGAACTGCAGCTATTATATTCAGGATTCTGAAATAATCCAATTAAACACTGAAGAACAATTAAACCTTTAAAAATAGTGTAAGCAGAAAACTAGGAACAATTTGATGGAATAAAGAAACAGACGTATTTTACTCACCATTATCTGGCCCTTGAAGCTTCATGGAATAAAGCTTGACAGGTTGATTAAAAGCCACAGTAATAAGGAGCTGTAGAGAAAAAGTTTATCTAAGTATTTCTCAATGCAAAATATTTTGAAATGCAGACAAAATATTTAAGAAAAAATAAAACAAAATGTTGTTTAGATCAGGGAAAGTAACTGATCACAAGGATATGATTAGTGTTCTCAGTCTTTATATGTAAATATTATTAGAATTTAGGAAATATCTTGTTATACAGCTTGAAAGAAGACTCCTGTTAATGAAAGCCTATCTACTAGAATCCTGAACAATTCTCAGATTTTGTTCTAGGCAAGGCTTTGGAAATGGGTACCTAAAGTTGAGTCTTAAACCAAACACCTTGGGCAAAATTTTCAAAATAGATGAGCAATTGTGTGCACCTTAGTTTTGAGGTGCCTTAAGGCCCAATTTTCAAGAGCAAGGATCATTCAACAGTTTCCATACACCAGAATATTAGGTCTAAGAGTCTAATTTTAAACACTCATTTTTTAAAAACTTGGCCTTAACCTGTACACGTGCCGAAAGCCGAGTTGCTTCACTCCCCCCAGTTGCTGCCAGTAAGGTGGGGGGGGGAAAGGCCACCCCTCTCTAGTTCTCCCAGCAGCTGCTGGCTGGCCTCTCATCCATGGAATTTGGTGGCATGTGATCTTTCATGCTCCTCCCCCTGCTCCAATATGTCATCCCTGATCTTTATTCTATGCCTAAATTAGCATTCCCATAGGTGTTTGGTCTGGTCTACACATAGATTTTGTACCAGTATAGCTATTTTAGTTAGGGGTGTGATTTTTTTTTTAACTGAAATAGATTCCCAGCAAGGCTGGACGTGCAGAAAAGGTCTAGGTTTACAGGCAGTCCCCGGGTTACGTACAAGATAGGGACTGTAGGTTTGTTCTTAAGTTGAATCTGTATGTAAGTCGGAACTGGCGTCCAGATTCAGCCGCTGCCGCAACTTGTAGCTCGTGAGACTGCATCACTGTTTGTTAGAGGAGTACCCTATGAATGAGAGCATGGAAAAGGTTTGCACATAATGTGCCAGTAGATGGCACTGAAGAATACATTGCCAGTTCCGTAGAGCCAATACGATTTGTTGCTGTGCATTCAGCAAATGGCTTTGTCTGTGCAGCACATTACATGAAGTTCTTAACACAATTTCTGCATATGTTTACGAGAGGAGGCGGCCCTAATTGCTCTGTTCTACACTCCCCCCCCCCAGCAGACCAGGGAGACGCAGAGCAAAGCCACGGAGGACGCCCGCAGCGGGACAGCCCAGGCATGCAGCGGGTGTCCCGCTGCGGGCCTCCTCCGAGGCCTTGCTCCCCATCTACCTGGTCTGACCAGGGAGACGGGGAACAGCTTTTCTTGCCCCGGAGAACGCAGGCGGCGGGACCGCAGCTCATCTGGGCGTCCTGCCGCTCCCGTCCTCCAGGGAGGGAAAAGCCCCGTTCGTAACTACGGATCTGACATAAGTCGGATCCGCGTAACTCGGGAACTGCCTGTACTTGGTCCAGTAATGGATTTGACTTTAAGGTCCCATCCAGCTGCATATTTCTGTGATTCTGTAAGTTCTACTGGATGATCTCAGTCCTTTTCTGACCTTACATCCTATAAACGTATGCTGGCATAAGCGTATAGTCACTCTGGAGTGATGGACTGTTATAACAAAAACCTGTCTAAACATTGGAACCTGTGTCACCTCATCAATTATTTTGTCCCAAGTATTTTAAATTAGACTTTCCAAGTTTCATGTAAATATACCTATATGAAATTTGAAGACAAAGCTTTACTTACAGTTACACTGTTAACATTCTGAAATTTTACATAGCGAAGCTGGACAATACCATCTTCTTTTATGTCATCTGGAGTTAGTTCCAAGGCTTGGGTTGGTTCACTTCTTTCTGCTTCTTCAAAGTCCATAGATCGTGGAAGGTTGATGAAGATTTTTATATACTTGGGACCTTGACCTGGGTTAACACACATTAGCAATTTAATTAACTAAACCACTTTTTAGATACAAAATTCGAACCTAGAAGCATCTTTACAATGTTTGTTATATGAACACGTAGTGACAATTTTGTTTTTGCTACATTCATAAAATTAGTACAAGATATAAGTACAGAAACCACATTTGAAACTATAGTTCTACCTTGCTCTACTGTATGTCAATATAAATATCTATGCCATGTCAAAACTATAGCATATGGACAGCATGGAGATTACATTAAATATATTTTAAAGAACAAATCTACTGTATTGATTGTTTTCTCCAATTTCAACAAAGCTACTTCCAAAGAGCAGGATTTCTAGAAAGCAACAAGATCCATACTACTGTCTTTACATGAATCCATGGGACCTTGCTAATAGTTACAATTATACTGCTCAGAAAACAGGAACTGCAGCTATTATATTCAGGATTCTGAAATAATCCAATTAAACACTGAAGAACAATTAAACCTTTAAAAATAGTGTAAGCAGAAAACTAGGAACAATTTGATGGAATAAAGAAACAGACGTATTTTACTCACCATTATCTGGCCCTTGAAGCTTCATGGAATAAAGCTTGACAGGTTGATTAAAAGCCACAGTAATAAGGAGCTGTAGAGAAAAAGTTTATCTAAGTATTTCTCAATGCAAAATATTTTGAAATGCAGACAAAATATTTAAGAAAAAATAAAACAAAATGTTGTTTAGATCAGGGAAAGTAACTGATCACAAGGATATGATTAGTGTTCTCAGTCTTTATATGTAAATATTATTAGAATTTAGGAAATATCTTGTTATACAGCTTGAAAGAAGACTCCTGTTAATGAAAGCCTATCTACTAGAATCCTGAACAATTCTCAGATTTTGTTCTAGGCAAGGCTTTGGAAATGGGTACCTAAAGTTGAGTCTTAAACCAAACACCTTGGGCAAAATTTTCAAAATAGATGAGCAATTGTGTGCACCTTAGTTTTGAGGTGCCTTAAGGCCCAATTTTCAAGAGCAAGGATCATTCAACAGTTTCCATACACCAGAATATTAGGTCTAAGAGTCTAATTTTAAACACTCATTTTTTAAAAACTTGGCCTTAACCTGTACAGGACAGCACACAATCTCACCCAAGCCCTTGAAAGCCACCACGCAATTTAGAATTATGTTTAATACTAAACATTTTATGAAGCATCAAAAGCTGTGTTTTACCTACAAGAAAAACATGGTAAAGATATGTGAGATTATGGTTTTCAATTGTTTTAAAGTTTCCTTTCCCAAGTAATTTCTCCACTGCTGTAAGTGAACTGTTGAGCTCACTTACTATCTAGAGTTCACTGCATTCATCAAGTTTATTACTGTACACTTGTTGCTGCTTAATACTGAATTTGGCATTTATTAGCCAGAAACAGAATCTCCCACTTTTTAATCCCAAAATGATTGTAAACATAGGAGAATTAGACAATTATACTAGTCAATACTAGGGATGTAAAAGAGTAGTCAAATAGCTGACTACTCGATAAGCCTAGGCTTATCGGGTAGTCAAGTTGACCACTTGCATCTCCACCACCCTTTGCTATCTCCACATTAGAGGCAGTAATTGGGGAGAGGGGGGGAGGAGGAGGAGGAAGAGGAAAGAGGAGCCAGCACTGGAAGGAGGGGACAGCTGCATCTCTGTCTTTGAAGGTTCCCTGCTGCACCTCTGCCTTTGAACTGCAGCAAGAGTCGCCAGCACTCTTATCAACTTTGATTAAATGACTTCTTGATTAGCTGATCAATCAAAATTTAACATCCCTAGTCAATACGTGAAGAAAAAACTGCCCTTTAAAATTATATTCAACCACAAATTGAAATTATACCTGCTCATCACAGTCAGATTCCAGGTAGGTAGAGTCTTTACGTAAACAGTTATCAAATCCATGTTCGTCACTTTCATTAAGACATTCACAGCCAGCTTTATTAATAAATGGCATTAAATCCATCTGAAAAAAAAAAAGCCAACAGTGCTGCTGGGTGCTTGAAAATATGCCACCTACTTGAAAAGAATTAGTAAATGTGTAGATGAGTAAAATTCATCACTGTATACAGGATGAGATTAAAATAAAAAAACCTAGTTCAATAATTTCATCCTTAACAGAATATATTCAAGCATTCATATTACACAGGGGTGGACAATTTTTGACAGGGGGCCTCTTAGAATTTGTTAACTGGTCAAAGACTGCATTTCTATGATATTAATGGAGGAGGCACATCATGCATCTGGAATAGAGGCTGGATTCAGAAGAGAGGTCAGGTTAGCAGACTGGGGTGGAGGAGAGGGTGTAGGGTCTCGGAAGAAGTTGTGACCAGGGTCAAGGGTGCAGAGGATTTGGGTTGTGACTGATCAAAGACTTGGGGTGCAGCAGGTGGTGAGCTGCTAGTTCTGGCCATAAGGTGCTTACACTAGGCGGCATGCTCAAAGCGGCTGATGCTGGGGTCTTGTGTCTCTGCGTGGCAAGCCAGTGAGGAGGGAGGCTCTTTAAGATGCAGACACCTCTCCCTCAGGAGCTATGGGACGATCCAAATATTTGATGGGCCAGATTTTGCCCACCCCACATCTTAAATTTTAGTTAACCTCCACCCCCCATTTGCAAAATTTTATCATGCATTCCCTGGAATCTACAAAGTGCACAGCAAGACAAAGTGAACTATTGCAGGCTGTAATTTGGCTTAAGCACCAAAACCATATCCTAAATTAAGGTCCTATCAAATTCACAGCCATGAAAAACAAGTCTCAGGCCATGAAATCTGGTCTTTTCCTATTAAATGAGTTAAGTTTGTATGCTTTTACTTTACTATCCTGATTTCATGAGGGAAACCAACGTCTTAAATTGAGGATCCTGGACAAAAAGGGAGTTACAAGGAGGTCACAAGATTATTTAAGGGGAGATCATGGTATTGTCACTCTTAATTGTTTGCTGCCTTCAGAGCTGGGCAGCCAGAGACCAGCAGCTGTTAGCCAGGCACCCAGCTCTGAAAGTGGTCTGCTGCCACAGCACACTGTTGCTGGTGATGACTATGCCCTCATCTCCTGACCAGCAGCCACTGCTCTCCGGATGCCCAGCTCTAAAGGAAGAGAGTCATTGTCTGCAGCAGTGCAGAAGGGTAGAAGTATAAGAACTTTTTGCATCAGTACCCCTACTGTTATAACATGACATTTCAGATTTAACTAGCTGAAAGTCAAAACATTTACTCTTAAAAATCCTATGATCATGAAATTGCGCAAAACAGACCATGAATTTGGTAGGGCCTTATCCATAATGCATTTGCAAAACAGGTGTAAAAAGACTGATGTTTTAACACTAGAGAAGTCCAAAAGCAAGCCTACTTAAAAATAAATGTACAATTAACAAAACAACTTTAGAATAATAACATTTGCACTGATGACAGACCCCACCTTCAAAGCTATTCATTGTTGAACTTTCTCATCAAGTATCCAACTAAGGGTTTTGACATCTTAAAAGAAACATGAAACTACCACCAACTATATATACACCAACAGAGTACAAAAATCTAGCTCATTGTATCAGATTTTTTTTCAAGATTACAAAAAGGTTCTCCTTGAGAAGACACTATACATTAAGTTCTGTAGCAAGGACAGTATTGATGTTATTGACTACTAGAAAGCTGTTACATCACAGTGTACTGTAGTTAAGTACAAAGCTAATTGCTAAATGGAAATCTTTACTAATTGTAGACAGAATTTTAGACTTTTTGGGATGGAACATTTTAAATAAGGCAAAAAACCCATCAAAAGACAATTTATATGCTTATCTTTAATATCTGGTTATTTTTATTATGAAAAAGTAGATGGTGAGAATTCCATTCCTCCCCTCTCCAGTTCAAGCAGGAAACTGAGATTTCATGCCTTTCTTATTGAGAAGGTTCAAAAGATGTTATTTAAAAAACTTGCCAGATAATTATCACCTTTATGAAGAGGATGAATTAGAAACATTAACCCTGAATGTCAGTGTTTTAAAAGTTTATTATCAGGTCAACACATTAAATTGCAGTCTAATTTATAAAGGTGTGAATTTGTCTGTTATAGAATTATTAGAAAAAAATCTGTTCATCTTATGAAGTTAGTTTAGTTTTAAAAAAGCAAATGCATACCTACTTTAGTCTCTTGTTACTTAAATTACTTCTAATGTGTTTTGGGCTGCGAAGCTAAAAAATGCCTTTTTGCATAACACTGCCACACTGGCTGTTACATTAACTATTAGCATAAGTATTTACATTCACAAGTAGGTGCAACACTAGTGCTGATACCGTAGTGAGTAACTGAATGATTACAACTTCAAGTGGCCTATATTCTACCATTTACATAAGAACAATTCAACTGGAAAAAGTATGCTATTTGTATGGCAGATGTTGCTCTATAACTATGAGTTTGAAGTATTCAACATATAAAGATGTGTTTTTACATATAACGCTTCAGATATACTATTCACAAGTGAACGTATTAACTTTCCTAAAGCTAAATACAAAACTTTCATACTACTGTAGTAAAGCTATCATGTTACTGAACCAACTACTGGTTTTAGCATTTTTGAAATATAATACCAGGTATTCAACCATAAATGTTTTATATTGTTGCCAGAATAAGCTACCCCTTCTTAAAAGTAGAAACATTATACCAAATATTGCTTAGAGAACACCACCTAAGATGACAGCTCTAGCAGAGTGTTTTGTCACATTAAGTTTCTCATTTACATATGTTTGCTGGTACAGCTGTCAGACATGCTTAAGATATGCAGTACACAGTTGTCTTAAGGCAACATGAAAACAAGTAGAACAGTGCTTTCAAGAAATTCTTTTTCCTTAAGTATTTCAAACCATATTTCTTTTTAGTTTTGCAACAGTGAAACTCCCACTATCCTGTTACAAGGCTTGGTCCAAAAATTAATGGAATTACTATTTCTAAATTTTGTATGGTGTTTCCCATTCAGTGTTTTCTTACTGTTTAGATACAAACAAATTTATTTTATTGTCAAAAAAGGATACCTGTTAAGTTATATAGGCCCAGCACAGCTATTGTAACAACACTACAGCTTTATTAGAAGGCAGCAAGGTTTCCACAAACTTTGAAAATTCCATTTCAGTGTGTTGAATTAGACATTCCCTTGCAGCTTTTGCCATTTAAGCATTTCAGTGAAGTGCTAACAAGGGAACCAGACAACTTATGTTTTTTACTGCCCAAGAAGAATCAGAAGAAAATCAGCATAAACTAAAGCTAAGACTTTTAAAGTTAACCAGGTTTTTTTATTCTGTGCATTAACATGCAAGAAAGTCTCAAAAACGTGGCTTTCATATGGCCCACTTTTAAAATTTGATGACTCCAAATCTTAGTACATGAAGTTAAAATGCGGTCTACTCCAGACCTCATTCATTGGCCTGTGACAAAGTGTTGGGAAGACAACCATTAGAAATAAAGCTTCAAGGGGCTAGCCGAGTTAAGTCTGCAACAGGAATAAAGAAATTCCAAGGATACAGTCATGATCTGAAGGAATGCTGATCAACAACTGGTGACTAAGAGGTTAACTCAGGTACCTAGCAAAGGTATCAGGCAGACAGCCAATAACAATGCAAGTAGGAATTTCAAACTGGAAAACAGGGGTTTTTTTCCCCTCTCTCCTTTGTTTTGAGATCAGAGAAGTTTCTCCGGGGCAACGAGAAGATGGAAGACACTTTCTCTCTCCAAGAACAGACTTCTTGAAATGTGTAAGTAGGGAATAGTTTGTCAGGGTTTACTGTTTTCCTTGTTTGGGGATATGAAAATCATGTCTGAGCTGGCTAATTGTTTTTCTCTTTTGTAACTAAGGATTATGGCCCAAGAACTTCGAGAGAGAGAAAGAGAGAGTGTGTGTGTGTATATATATATATATCTCAAATTGTGGCTCTTTCCACGTAGCCAATTTACTATGTTTGCAACTGTAGTTTTGTTTTTGATAATAAAAGATTTTTTTATTCTAATTAACTGGTATTGGTCAATTGTTGTGTGCTTAGGACAAAGTGCCTAGTTACAGGGGCAAAGCCCATTGTTGTCTGTGGATTCCCTGTTTTTCCCCCAACTCCAAGCAAAACGGAGGTTGGGACAGGGGGAAGAGTTTCACGGGGGGGGGAAGGGGAGGGGAGAAGTCCCAAGTGATCTCTTCCCTGATTTTCTTGGAATCACTTGGATGGTGGCAGTGAAGAACCAGTCTTGGTTGTTCCCCCTTCTATTCAATCTCAGTCCCCTGAGATCCAAAGAGTTGGTCTCTGGGAATCAGACACACAGTTTTTGCAGAGATTATTCTGCTAGTCGACTCTCTAACTCCACATGCATAGTGTCAGGTGGGGGGATTAAACCATGACAGATATTTTAATGCAAGCACTAATAAAAAGTGAGACACTAAAAAAAAATTAAGCAGAACAGTTTCTAAATCAAGCTTTACTGAGTTTTCTGTAAAGCTTCAGAAGTTCTAACAAACCAAGGAAAAAACATTTCCTCTTTATTGTATTTATCCTTTCCAATTTAAGTTATGTTTACTGTACATAGTTCAACTAAGTTAATGTTCAAGGTATTCTCTCTTCCCTTCAAAAGAATGAATCTCTTAACTTCCCAACTCCAAGTGAACAATTGTGAAATCTGTGACTATGCTATGTCATTATTTACTGCAGACCAAACACTGTTTAATTCTGAATATATGATCTATATTTTTAAAAGTAAATAAATCATGTACTAATTATTCCATAGCAAAAGTGAGATAGCCTAGAATTAGACTTGCCCATTCCTATTCTGCTGTGTTAACTCAAAGTCCCAAGCCAGTTAAGACCTTTTGAGGAATCAGGTAAACCGTTTGGCAAATATTCTTAGATGCTATTAATGATCAAACTATAACTCACCACACCACCCCTTCCAAAAAGCAGCTTTCTAACAAGCTTTTAGGGTAGCTGCAACATTACAGAATGAGAATGTTACAAAAAGCTATTTGAGAAAAGATACTGAAAACATAGCAAAGAAGATTCACCTAAGGACAGTCCACAGAATCTTTAAAATTTTAGTAGTTATTCAAATAACTCATTTTGCAGGAAGCAGATCTGTTTTCCTATACGATTTTAAAACAGAGAAGTCTAGTAGAAGAAACATCTACAGCAAAATTTTCAACATGAAATCCAAGCAATGTTCTAGACTCAGGGGCATATTTTGGAGAAGACTTAATTACACCATTTTCAAATATTACTATAATGTATTGCTATGAAGTCATTCTTTAAAAGCTTGCTTGGAAAAGGAAAAGGCATATGATCTTTAAAAAATAATATTAAGACATCTAAGTTTCTACCTAAACTTATCCATTTAAGTTAGATCTTAGTACGTTTAGAAAGCAGGACAACATGGACATATTTTTTAAAATAAATTTACAAGTTCTTAAAATAAGGCATGCATACATATCCTTTTGGAATATCTGTGTCCTCATTATTTCCAGGATCATTCTCTAGATGCTGTTTAATTTTTTCTTCTAATCCTACAGCGTCCGCTCCTTGATATTGGTCAATTCGCACTTTGTTTCGGAAAAACATAAATGTTGGTGTTGCTGATATATTATTGGTTGCAGCTGTTCCCTAGAATTGACATATTGATTACTGTTGTGTGATAAAGTGTTATATACAACATTTCTAAACTTGAAAGCAGTGGCTACAAGTAGCAGCTTTATTAATATGCAACAGTATTAGCCATCGTGATCATCTACATCTTGGCACATCTAGAAAAGCAGTTTAGACTGTAATTAACTGTCACTGTGAAATAGCCCTAGAACTAAACAGGATTCATTCTGGGATAAGGCAAGCTCGTCATCCTCAATTGCCAACACATATCAGGGTTAAAAGCCATGCTTACAGACCAAGAGAAAGATAGTTGCTAATAAAACGAACAATGAACAAGAATCTCATTTGTTCCTTTTTCCGTGATTCCCCTTAATCCAGGGGTGGGCAATAATTTTTAATGAGGGGCCACGCCAAGATTCTGGCAAGTGGTCAAGGACCACACTTCTATGAAGGGGATGTGGGGTGTAAGACGGAGGTTAGGTGCAAAACGAAGTTTGGGGCAGAGGACTGGGGTGCAGCAGGGGTGTAATGGTCTGAAGGGAGTTTGAATGAAGGAGAAGGTTGTGACTTGGGGCAGGATGCTTCAAGTGAAAAGTCCAACAGGATTTATGGATCAGAATTCTGGCCCAGGGAGGGTATAGGGGGAGTACAAGGACTGGGAGGAAGTTGCGACCTGGAAGAAAGGAGGAAAGGTACAGAGGGTTTGGGTTGTGGACTGCAGCAGGCAGCTGGGGGTTGGGGCGGGGGAGGGGCGCAAAGAGGGAATGAAGTGCAAGAGGCAGGCTCTGACTAAGAAGTGCTTACCTCGGTGGGCTTCAAGCCAGCAGCTCTGCAAGGAGCAGATTATCTGCTGCAGTTCCAGGCTTGTAGGGTGGCTGTACCACACTGTTCTGCCCACACATGCTATCCCTGCCCCCTAGAAAAATTTCTTAGCTTCTATTGGCTGGAAATTGGCCAATGAGCACTGACTTATTCTTCCAAAATTACCTCTTTAAAAATAAGTTATTTATTTTGAGTTTAGTAAGTGAAAGGTATATGATGAAGGTAAAGGAAGTTACCTTGGTTACGGATTTAGGAAGGACTTCAATGTTACATGATTTAAATTGTTCTTTTTTTTCTAAAGCACATTATTAATCTTAACTACACAACTGAAACTTTGCATCTTTATTTTGCTTTGATTTTTGTTAATGTTTTAACATTCCTAGAAGTATCCTGGAAAATCTGTTTACTGTAACATCTGAAGTCATTTTCCTTATACCTTTGGAATGCATTAAAGCATATAGAAACTCTTTTCTAGTGCAGACTCCATTGGTACAGCTTGTATAATAATCTACCATTTATCACATCTTTATAAAAAAGTCTACAGACCAACTTCTGAATAACAGCGCCCTTACAATAGATGAGCCTAAGTTGCAACTCCTAATTATTCAAGTTCTTATCCTGCATCCATCAGTCACTGGAATTATAAATTAGGACCCCTCAGGTCAGACAGCATTATAAAACTTTGTTACTGTATTCAGTCCAATTTTAAGCTCCCGTTTCTACCACATCCTTTGGAAAAATAATTCAAAGACTAATGAATGAGATAGTAAATGTTTGAGAATGTTGTCTACTCTGTATACTTGCTCCACCATACATAAAAATATTGTACCCTGCCATATGTTTGTAAGCTTCTCTCACCTTACTACACAAAAATAAAGCAGCTACTATTGTTGGGGATGCAAATATGTACACAAAAACCAATATAGTTTCTTGGTTCTACCTGGTTCACAATCATTTTTATTAGAATGTATTCTTCAAATAGCCTTTCCTCTGTTATTTTTATTTGTGCACACATTACAACAAAAATGCATACTACTTCCTTGCTCTATCAAGTGATGCTTATTGTAAAGTAACAACTGCAGTTTCATTTTTCCTTTGCTGTCATACTTTACTCTAAACTGAGATTTTTCTGTTTTACAGGTTTCTCTCTGAAACTGAACACAAGCATCTTAGATATTTTTCTGCCACAGATAGAGCAGCCATCAGCATTACAAATGATTTTCATTTTGTTATCCACTTGTGTTTCTAACCTTTTCAAATGCCTTTGTATTAGTTATATATCCCAACTAGTTCTAATAATCCATCATAATTCAGTATCTTCAGCAAGTTCTGTCAATATTATCTATTCTCATGTTTACACTAATGAAAAGAAGACTCCTGGTCACTTCAAGTTACTTCCTAGCCTCTCAATGTTGCTGTTAATCATTTAACCATTTTGTTCACCCAGTGACCATGTTGCTCCACTCTCAACACCACTGGAAATAAACATTAGTAACATTTCAGAAGCCACTAATAAATACTTAACTAAAATCTGGCATTACATTTGCCACAGTCCCTTCACCTACTTTTTTTAAATATGCACAGACGTGTTTGGCAAGATTTATTCTTCATAATTCATACTACTGCCCATGATTTCGTTGACATGTACATATTTAGCAATTCCTGCGGGATGCTCCTCTTAGGGACAGTAGTCAGGAATTTTAGGGCAGTAATTAGGATAATTTTATTTTTGGAAAAAACCCACAAAAACAAAAAAATCCCCAAAACAAACAGTAATTTCTCCAGTCTTTTAGTATCACCCAATCATCCAATAATTTTCTATTTAGTAGCCAGTGGTTTGGGAACTTTTTTAGTTAATTTTTATAGTGTCCTAAGATATGAGCTGGATCTAGTTTTCAGATATTATGTTATTTACTCTTTTATAAAGGGCAGCTTATAAGATCTTACTTCCCAATGGTCAAAATGTATTTGTGCATACAACTCACCTGGCACTGATGTACATCTACTTCCAAAAAAGTTGCCTGGGGATATTTATTACTCAAAGCACTGAACGCTGGAGCTATCCTCAAACAAGGACCACATCTATTAAGGAAAAAAAATAGATGTAAGTTTGTCTAGTTTTTGTAAAAGCAATATTTTGCCCCATATATGATATCCAATGTCTGTTGAAGTCAGTGGGAGTTGTACGCGTGTATTTGGCCCTTAGTTGGATGCAAGTCTTACAACACCTTTCATAGTTGGCAAACCTAGTCAGATATTGCTGAATGACAGGCAAAATAATGTGAGTCAATTCCCACTTCCTGCATAAACAGTTCTGATTACTTAGTAATAACCTTCATCAGTTTCAAACTCTATATTCTAGGTTTAGCTTGGTTAGCATCACCACATATCACTATCAATGCACATCATATCAGTTAAAAAGGAGGACATTTACTTTGGGGAAAGAGCTCTTTGCTGCTCTGAAAGAGCGGATTTAATCACCAGCTCACACTAACCCTACCTAGTATTTTCATGTTACCAACTGTAGTTACATAATTCATTAATTCCCTTTTCCTATAGTAGTTGGTGTCCACAATTTCATCTTTTCTGGCAAAGATTTATCAGAAGTGACATTTGCTTCTACGACAGTGAATGCTATGTAGTTTATCTTCCCTTTCCTCCTGCCTTCAGTATGAGAAGTCACTGATCCCCAGGACACAGTGTCTGTAGAAAGGCACATTTTCAGAAGTTTCATGAACTCACTCAGGGTCAGGGTCAGATCTTCGAAGAATTTATGTTCCTAAATACTGAAAAAAAAAAATCAATGGAAGTTGGGAGACTAAACACCTTTGAGGATTCAGGCCTAAGCTACTGCTCCAACTAGAACTCTCTTTAATTTTAGCATCTTGACTAGTTGCTACCCCAACATTATGAATTATAGTGTGGAAGTAGTCTAATTCTTAACTATAGCTTCCCTCAAATCCCAATCACTACAATATCCAGGAAACAAAGCATAAAGAAACTAAGGAGTTTCCTCCACTCCCCTCAATTTTTAGTAAAGTAAATTTTCTGACACACAACTTAGAATCCTAGGGCTGGAAGAGACCTCAGGAGGGTCATCAAGTTCAGCCTCCTGCCCAAAGCAGGACCAGCCCTAACTAAATCATCCCAGCCAGGGCTTTGTCAACTCAAGACTTAAAAACCTCTACAGATGGAGATTCCACCACTCCCTAAGTAACCCATTCCAGTGCTTCACCACTGGCCTAGTGAAATAGTTTTCCCTAATATCCAACCTTGACCTCCCCCACTGTAATTTGAGATCATTGCTCCTTGTTATGCCATCCATCACTACTGAGAGCAGCCTCTCTCCATCTCTTTGGAACCTCTCTTCAGGAAGCTGAAGGCTGGTATCAACCCCTCCCCTCCACTCTTCTCTTCCACAGACTAAATAAACCCACATCCCTCAGCCTCTCCTCTAGGTCATGTGCTCCAGCCCCCTAATTATTTTGGCTGCCCTCGACTGGACCCTCTCCATTTCATCACATCCTTTCTATAGTGGAGGGCTCAGAAATGAACGTAATACTCCAGATGTGGCAGTAACTTATGCTGCCCCATTGTCACCTCTCACCACCCCTTGCAGAGCATTTCATTAATCCTTCTCCGTCACTCACCTTATAATTTCTTTTCAGCTGCTCCACATTGTGCTTTAATAGCAAAGTTATACTTTTTAACGGTTGCCTGTAACTGGCTCTTGATCCATGCTTTACTATAGCAGAAGCACTTTGATATTTACAATGGGAGGGTAAGTCTACACTTGCACCCTCTTTCGAGAGAGGGATGCAAATGAAGACATTCGAAACTGCAAATGAAGCCAGGATTTAAATATCCCGTGCTTCATTTGCGTATTTGCATTATGACGCTATTTTGAAATAACAGACACTGTTAAGACGCGATTATTTCGAGAGAAAACCCTTCTCTCAAAATAACTGGTAAACCTCATTGCATCTACATGTTTTGTTAGTCTTTAAAGTTCTGCTAAACAACTTGCTGTTTTTCAAGTTTATCCTGTATAAACTAACTTGGCTATACTCCTCTGAAGCTTTTGGATTTACAGTAGTAATTTTAGAATTACATGACTTCAGTACCAAACCCCCAGATACACAAATCTAAACTGCAAAATTGACTTGAGAAATTATGACAGCAGACTGATGGCAAGGAGTTTGGATTTGATAAAGCAGAAACAGGGCTGCTGTTTCCACCCAACTCCAGACCATATATAATTAATGTGCAATCCACCCTGCATGCAAGGTGGGCTTGCTTTTTGGTTCAAATGTTAAATATAGTCTTAAATTTAGAATACCGCAGTTTCACTAGGTAAATACACAGTTTAAAATGCCAAAAAATTAACGAATTTTATATTGACACTTCGTAACTAGAACTGCAAGTATTAATAAAACGAAGATTAATAGCCGTTTGCCTACCATTTTTCATAGTAGCAGAGTATGTTTGTCAACAGCAAAGTTAGAGTGCTGTTAGATAATTTTGGTGGTTTTTTTAAAATTTTTAAATACTAGAAGATTTCCAAAGCCAAACTATTTAAATTAAGTTTAAAGAGACAGTAAGCATTTATTATCTCTGAATTACTGCTAATACTAGATCTGCCAGATCCACCTAGCATAGCCCAACCAAAATTAACAAAAAGCCCTTCCCACGTAATTATTTTCTAAACATTCAAGCTTTTAAAACAAACAGAGTGAGCCAAATGCACCTATTTGAGACTGGGACAGCCCCTGTGATGGCCTTAGCAGCAAATGATCACTTCATGTCACAGTAAACCCACACCACAAAATGCTTCCTTTACAACCAGGCAATCCCACAAACTCTGCCCTTACCCCGCTCCCCAATTAGGAAAGCTCGCTCCTTGTAAGGAAATGTGACACTAGCCACCCTCACAGGAGGAACAAAGTTTGGTGCAGGGCGGTGAGTCACACCAGAGTCCCCCCCAAACGCCACACGCTGTCCTGAGCCTCAGAGCTGCGAGTGACAGGCAGTGGGGGAGAAGCTCCTCGAGGCTACACCACCCAGCCAGGGCCACCACGCCTAAGAGGCAGAAGGGGAGAGCAGAGATGCAGCAGCGCAGGGTGGGGCGGGGGCAGAGGCAGATCAAGGTGCATGAGGCGGGGAGCCCAGAGCCTTGGCCCCCCAAACGCCACACGCTGTCCTGAGCCTCAGAGCTGCGAGTGACAGGCAGTGGGGGAGAAGCTCCTCGAGGCTACACCACCCAGCCAGGGCCACCACGCCTAAGAGGCAGAAGGGGAGAGCAGAGATGCAGCAGCGCAGGGTGGGGCGGGGGCAGAGGCAGATCAAGGTGCATGAGGCGGGGAGCCCAGAGCCTTGGG